CCATTATTATTAGCGCCACCCCACCACCACCACCCCTTCTACCGCCTGACCACCAGCATCCCCATTATCCCCACCATCACCACCACCATCGTCACCTCTACCCCCACCACCACCTTACCACCACTGTCACTGTTTAACCATCACCCTTATCACCTCACCACCATCCCTAAAGACCACCACCACTACCATCGCTCACTCCTACTATAAGTGGTGCTTAAATGCTTTTCTCTCATTTATATTTATGATTTAATTTTAGATATGAATACAAATATATTTATTGTTGATAATTTTTTTATTACTTTGTGCCTTCAGGTATAGGCAATAACTAGTACTTTCATACAAGAACAATATTAGCACAGCCGAAGGGTAACTATTCCAAAGCCCAAACCCATTTCATTCACAAGCCATAGGCAACATAAATGTAAACAAGTGCAAATGTATTTCCTTGCCATTTATTTGATTTAAGATCTACAACTATATTACAATCTTAGTCACGTAATCCTCCTAAATTCTTAACTCTCTCACGCTACGTGTGTAAATTCACATTGTGGGAGCGAATTCTCAGTGAATTTGTCATCTCATTTTACAAAATTCGTGAATTTAATTTTTCAATTTGTGAATTCGAGTAATTTGTGTTTTACTTACTTATATGCTAACTTATTATTACTCAAATTGTTATTTGGGAAGTATTGAGTCTACTGACCAAGACCTAAAAATACATATCAAACTTGATAATGATCAAATTTTGGATATGAGCCGCCATAATCAAGAGCGCAATAGGTCTAAGAGGCTGTTACTCGCTTAGCAGCCCAAAAAGTTCACCCCTAGCCTGTCCGCACCAAGATCAGAGTGTACTGCGCCCAAAAGATAAGGCCTAACAATACCAGAAGGCTTGAAATCCAGTCCAGCCCTAATCCAACTCAGCTGGAGGTCAGGTCGGGATAAAGGAGCTCGACCCAATGTCTATCCTGAAGCACTCCCGTCTCGCCACACGTCCTGAGGGCAGAGGGACCACTTCTGACACCCATAATGAACACACACTCTCTGCCATATAGAATATTGGTGCGCGTAACCGTTCAAAGATTATGGGCATAGTGGCGTCATGTGACAGAGGTCGCTATAAGACCAAAGTAGAAAGACCCACAAAATCAATAGAAAGGAAGAAGGAGCCGCAAGAAACCCTAAAAGGATCACCTGTATAAATAGGACATTACTACACTACAATAAAAAGGTCATCATCTCCCTCATTATCTGCATTGCGACCTACACTGCTAAGCTTATGTTCTCTAAGCATTTCTGGTAAAGGCATTAAGCCAAAAGAACTATTGTAATAACTCCCTTCAAGCAATATACTCCCCCAAGGAGTAAGAGGCTTCATTACAGTGGACGTAGCCTTAGTTTTTTAACTAAGGTGAACCACTTACATCGTGTTTTGGTCTTCCTTCCACTGTTTTACTCATTTCTAGTCCTTACACTTGCCCTGCATCCTTTCTGGGACAACTGGCCACGGTTCTGGACTTGGACTAACAAATCCGAGCACCATCAAAACTAAGATAATATTTGTACACTATAATTATCATATTAGGACTTTATAATCAAAATATTTTTAAAAATTAATAGTTTGTTTCGTAATTGTGCATGAAATTTTAATATTTTATATTATTTATATTAAATTGATATGGGTGAATTTGTGTCTGTATGGATATATTACTCAAGGTACTCCCACTTTCAATTTTTTGTGAATAATGACATTTTTACACTCACACTCTCCCTCCTGCTCTCGCCCAGTTCCCATTCTTTGTAATCTAGATTACAACTATACTTATTTGACTTATTTGCCTATGCATGGCTTACCCAAGCGACAAGTAAGGGAGAAATACTGAAATTGTGTTTAGTATAAAGACTATCAAATTTTAAATAAGACTATGAAACTACAAGAAAAAAAATCAATATTATATCAAAAATAATTAATAATCGTAAATCCTAATTTAATTTATTCATAGCAATCAATCATAAAAAGAATAAAGTTAAATAACAAAAACACATTTTATATAGGGGTGCAACTTTGACAGATTAAAGGATCAATCTTAGCTCAACCCTAGATATAAAATTTTGGATTTTTTGTGAGCCAATGCTTAGGGGTTGTTTGATAATACTACTTAAGGTTTAAAACTGAATACTTTAAACACTTAATAAATTAAAACTCGTTTGATAATCTAAAATTCTTACTATTTAATATTTAAGTATTTCTTAAAAATAGACTAATATTTTAAATAGCAAGTCACCTACTTATTACTTAATATTGAAAATGTTAGTCAATAAGAATTTCATCAATTTCTCATAATGGACAAATATACCCTCTCCACCATTATGTTATCGCCACCACTACCAACATTATCACCACCACCGCCACCACCACTACCATCACCCCCATTGTGTTATTGTCACTACCACCATCACCATCATCATTGTTGCCGCCACCACTACTATTATGCCACTGTCACCACTACCACCACCATCACTACCACCAACATTGCTGCCGCCACCTGCACCACCACCACCATCACCACCAACGCTGTCACCACTATTGTGTCGTCGCTACCACCACTACTATTATGTCATTGCCACCACCATCATTGTGCCACCGCTATCACCACCACCACCATTACTATTGCCGCCGCCACCACCACCATTGTCGTCGCCACCATCACCATTGTACCACTACCACCACCACTACTATTGTCATCGCCACCACCACCATCGTTGTTGCCACCACTTCCATTGTGTCACTGCCACCACCACATCCACCGCTATAGCCACTAGCATTGTGCCACCGCTACCACCACCACCATTGTCGTCGCCGCCACCACCACCACCACCACCATTGTACCACCGCTACCACCATTACCATTTCATTGTCATTGCCACCACCACCATCGATGTCGCCTCCACTACCATAGTGTCAGTGCCACCACCACCACCACCACAATTGTCGCCATAACCACTACAACCATTATTGCCAACACCACCACCATCATCACTACTATTGTGTCACCGCTACCACCACCACCATTGTTCCACCACCATAGTGTTGTTGCCACCACCGCTATCATCGATGTCGCCACCACTGTCATTGTGTCACTGTCACCACCACCACTGCCACCATTGTGTTGCCGCCACCATCACCACCACTGTCGTCACCAACACTTCCATTACCATTGTGATGATGGTGATAGGAATAAGACAGTTGCAGAGAAATGGTTGAAGATAAGAGTAAAATTAGAATAATAATAATTTTTAGACTTTAGCTTCTTATATTTGTTAAACATTTTGATTAAATTCAATACTTAAATTTCAGTTGATACCAAACAGTCTGCGAATTAAAAAATTCAGCATTTAATACTTAAAATTCAATATTCTGTTTTCAGTATTTAACTTTCAATTTTGTCAAACACCACCTTAATTTATCACTTAATTGTGAAAACTCAATACAAAATATTTTGCATACAAGTAATCTTTTTTTTTGGATGACAGAAATACCCATGCAACAATCCCATTAAATTCGACAACTGTCATATCCCTAAAAACATGTGTCTTCAAATTTTAATAAAATCTGCAATAAAATCCTTCTAATTTCAACTAAAGAAAAACACAAACGTTGAAACACCGTTGAAGATTGATCTTCCTTCTATTCCCATTCAAATTGTCAATTAATGTGATATTATAGTGATACATAACAGTGTAACATATTCATTAATACTTTAAGCACTTACAAAAAAGTTGTAATATTTCATTTATTGATTCATACACAATCTAAATAGTATGCATCACATAATGTGACGTCACAAATGTTACTTCCATATATATTACTTTTAATGAATGACAATGTTACATTACAGTGTGACATTACAAAGTGACACTGTTGTTAAATTTGTGAACAATTAAAGTTGTTTAACATTAAAAAATAATATACAAAATGAATTTCAAAATCAAAGTCAAGTTGTTAAGGTATATTCTATGTGATATAATTTTGAATTTTAAATATATTCGATCCCTTAAAATATGAAACCATTAATATAATAAATCAAATCCCATACAAAAATGGGACTGTCAAACTAACAAGCTTTCAAATAAGAAAATTGGTATTTTAGTGAAGAAAATATTTAAAATTTGGTCAATGAGTATCTAACTATAATATATTTCATTCAAAAATTTGGTTTATCATTATACAAAAGAGTTTACTACCAAATTTGTTGTATATAATTGGTATAATCATGTCGTGATACTAAAAAATATAATTATTTAATTTATGTAAATAATTAAATGAAACACATGAGTAATTATTTGGTGTATTATAGGACAACTATAATTAATTGATATAATTGTGTTGTTGCAGCATTGATATAAAGAGTAAGAATAAGGAGAGAGTAGCGATGAGATAAAATAGGGTGAGAGCGAGTGAGCAAGAGAGAGAGAAAAAAAAATAGGAGGGAGAGGGAAATAAAAAAATCAAATTAAATTTTTACATATTTGAAAAACAAATAAATTATTAATTGGAAAGAGAAAAAAAAATAAGGAGAGATAAAGAAAGTAACGAAGAGAGATATAGAAAAAATTGGGGAGATAAAGAGAGAGAGAGTGAAAAAATAAGAAGTATAGATAATTTAAGGAAGGGTAAATAAAAAAATTTAAATGTCATTTAAATTTTGTATTTAATCACAAGATATTTTATTAAAATTAAACTTAATATAATAAAATATTTATGCATACATTATCTCTGGAATAAGTCTAAAACAATGTATTCACACATTAAAAAAAAACTTTCTCTTTTTATTTGATGAAAAAAGAGTTGTTTCTCAGAAGGGGAGGGATCCACCTGAAAAAACCCCAGGAGTTGCAGTATGTCTGGAGTTTGATTCAAAGTTTCGATGTGATTGATGAGGAAGGTAGGATGGAAACATGGAATGCAATGCAGGGCGTATAGCTAGCCACAAACACATTCTCTCTCTCTCTCTCTCTCTCTCTCTTACCTTTTTCTGTCTGTAACCACAAATCAGAAGCTCTTTGACAAGGCAATGGAATCTCACGGGTCATGGGACTTTGTCTGGGCATAAAGAAAAAAAAGTCACACCTTACAAGCATAAAAAAACTGTAAAGAACTCAAAGCTGAGAGAGGAGATTCGCCACAGACGGGTGTGGTCTATACATAGCCTCTAAGCCCTTAACCTTGGCCAAGATTAGCCCACGGTTAGCTTCTTCTAAGTCCACCAATTCAGACCCAACCCTTTCCCACTCAAAGCACTGAATAAACGTGCCTAATGCCAACCCAACTAACCTCAAAGCCAAGCTAGAACCAGGGCATGCCCTCCTACCCATCCCAAATGGAATAAACTTAAACCCCTGATCTCCTCCCTTCTCAATCCCTTCAAACCTCTCTGGCCTGAACTTGGTAGGTTCTTCCCACAATTTTGGGTCCCTATGAATCGCCCAAGCATTCACCCACAGCATTGTTCCTCGTGGAACGTTGTATCCTTCTATTGTAGAATCTCCAGATGACAAATGAGGCAATAGAAGTGGTGCAGCAGGGAATACTCGGAGTGTCTCATTGATGATGCATCGGAGATAGGGTAATTTGGGGAGATCTGAATCCTCTAACAATTGCCCTAGCTTGACATGGTTGTTGATCTCGGATCGAGCTTTGTCCAACACTTTTGGGTGGTTTAGCATAAGTGACATTGCCCATTCCATGGTGAGTGCTGAAGTGTGTATCCCAGCTGTGAACATTATCTGTGCAAGTAGGGGCCGAGGAAGATAGCTTGTTAGAAATAGAATTACGAGTTCATTGATATAAAGCAAGCCTCGGATAGACTTTCCAATCACTAACTTCGTAATTACTTTCTAGTAAATCTAGTTATTGATGACTTGGTTTTTAGTTAAAAGGGCGAAGAATATTTAAGTTAGCTTACGTTCACTTTGACTAATTATTTCTTTTGTCCAATTAAAGGCATCAACATCAGGTTTAAGAAATTTATGAGAGATAAATTGTTTATAACCTAATCCCAAGAGATTGCCAAATTTTTAACTCAATACGTCTAATTTTACAAATTCTCTTTATTAATACTTGAGTTACCCTTGAGGTTTCTAATTGTTGATGATTGAATTCAATAGAAAATGCTAAATTTGTAACTAAGCACATCTCTAACCTTGACTCAAATGCAAATTCAAATTTAAATTTGAGTTATAATGACTCAAAAAATTTCTCCAACATTAGACTCAAATTTATATCAAATCAAGACAAAAATTATTCTAGACTCAAATTGAAACAGACTCAAATTCTATACCAAATTTCTAACCGTAACTTTTTAACCTATCTAAAATTAAAAAACTTGTTCCACGTCTTGTTCTCTACCTCTTCTTGTCTCTTTCTACTACACTGCTTCCATCACTGACTACCACCGAAGATTTCACAAATCGTTTGATGGCTTGTAGATAAGTTTTTCCTTTTCATCTTCTATTTTCATAATTTCTTACATTTTTAAAAACTCTAATCTCGCTCATCTTTCATAATATATAATCCCTAAGCCTATTCATCAAATTTTTCTTTGATTTTTTGAGATAAACATTTTTAATAGTATAATTTTAGACCATCAATTCTTCTTCAAAATTTAAGTCTTTGCTATTCACAAATTTAAAAAATTTGTTATTTTATTTCTTCACTATTCCATTTTTGTTAAAAATTTGTATTTTTGTGTTCTTCAGATCATACCCATGTCAAAATAGTTATATTTTTTTTCTTTTTCTTTGTTTGAATTTATAAAAAATGATAAGAAATTAGAACAATCTTAAAATTCTAGGGTTATTTATTTATTTCCATGTAGTGTTGTATACGTATTCATTTTTTTTACTACACATTTGTGGAGAAATATGTAAATTTCATTTATTTTATCAAATGTTATGATTTGAATGACACAAAAAAATGAGTTTTAGAACAATAAAAAAATTTTGCAAAAAATTTGAATAGATATTTGAGTTTGTTTATTTGAGTATAATATATCAAATCAAGTTTTTTACTCAAATTTAAAAATAAATTTGAGTCATAATTAAAATGCTCTAATAATTAAAATTTCCTCCTAGTCCATAGGTCATACTTTTCTTCCCCACCCAGAAATAGAGCTATTTGATTCCAAATCTCATCAATCATATACAACTATAATATCTCTAAATTACTGGAGTCTATTTAGGGGGAGCCAGTATATTTATCAATGCATGATTAAACATGACCAAAACCAATAAAATTTGGAACTAAGAGAAATCAATTTTTTTTGTCTCAACAATCAGGGTATTTAAGATAATTTATGCGTATTTTAATTAATTCTCGTTCCTGTTCGGTTAAAGTCAAACGATCCACACCAAAATTAGAGTATTTATGTGAGATAATTTTCTCATAATAATCTGATCTCAAGAGATGTATGAAATTTAGACTCAAAGGTGTCTGATTTTTTAACTCATCTCTATTATTAATTGAATTACATTTTAAATTAATTCTAATTTTGGAACCGAATAATTACAACTCGAGGAGGTAGTTAACGTTACCACTCAATTGGGGTTAGATGTGACAAGTTAGTTGCAGCTCAATGCTGACCAATTTATGATAAAATTTTAGGATCTATCATTTATTCTAGAGTAATTGTTTTTAAACCTAAAAATTTGACTTAATTTATCGACATAATAATTTAATTTCAGTAAAATTATTGATTCAACATCAAATTTAATATTTAATGAGCCTATAATCAATCTAAAAATTATAATAAATAAAGTTAACAAATTAAATTTTAATAGCATTGTTGTTTATTTTACGATACTTCTATTATTTTTAAAAGGATCTCAAAAACATTATTTTGTCTCAATTTCATTGGATTAAAATAACTTACCAAGACCCAGCCTTTCGGTACGGTAGTCTCGTGGATTAATCATCAACCAAGGTAACTTAGTGCCTCAGATGAAGACCATGGATTTCTTCACCTCGTTGGACAGAAATATCATCCTTAACTTACCAACGTAAACTATGTAACGAAATTACAAAAACAGTGGAATACGCTTACCAGTATGATGCCCTTGAGGATGTCATCCGTGTAATATTCAGGTTCAGCTTCTTGTAAAGACAACAAGACTTCAACGATCGTCTTCTTCCTTTGCTCCGGTGAAGAAGAACCAGCTTTCTTTTGCCGGTGCTCATCAATCAGACCTTGCATGAACTCGTTTCTCCTTCTATGCAAATCCATCAACTTCTTCTCCGTTCCACTGAAACCCACCCACCTCAAAAAGGGTAAATAGTCACATAAGTTCATCTGCAAGATCGACCCGAACATGTCCATCGACTCCGTCCACCGTTTTCCGGCAACCATCTTTGTCATCACATTGAACATCAAATCACGGAAAACAGAACTCAGGTCAACTTTCCTGGTACCCCCTTCATATCCCAGAAAAAGTTTCTGGACAGCAAAACGAATCTCCTCCGTCCTGGTGGAGGAGGAGTGGTTGAGACTGGTGGCGGAGAAGATTTGGATGGTGGTAAGACGGCGAATATTACGCCAGTGGTCGCCGTAAGGGGAGAACCCAACGGTGGTGTAGTTGTAGGTTATGTGTTTGCTGGCAAGGAACTTGGGTCGGTTCGCAAAAATTACATCAAGTTGGGTGAAGAGTTTCTCGGCAATGGAGGGAGAAGAGACTAGGAGGACGGGTAGTGATCCGAGCCGGAGGAAAACAATCGGGCCGTATTGGGAGGAGAGAGACTGGAAAGTTCGGTGGGTTGGGGTTTTGAGAAGGTGGAGGTGGCCTAGTATGGGAAGAGCTAGTGGACTTGGTGGTAAGTTTTTCTTTGTAGTGAAGAGAAGCTTGAGGATGATGCAAATGGAGAAGATAAGAGCTACGGTGGTGTAGAGGATCTCCATGCCCATGGAGAAGGAAGGTGAGAAGTATATCTTTTTAAGTATATTTGAGTGTGCACGGAATTTATATTCACATTTTCAACATAAAATATAAAAGATTGAATAATGTTAGATTGTGATGCGAGAGTATGCGAAGAGACAGTTGGGTTCGACTACATTTCAATTGTTGGTCGAATCTCATTTGTTTGAACGAGTCGCATCTAAATTTTTGATGTGAATTTTAATCATCGTCAAAACGTCAAAGCGTAAGTCTTGATTAAGTGGTGTATGAATTGAAGGACTAGTTTATGTACTCAAAATTTGTCCTTAGTTCAATTCGATGAGTTTGAACAGTATATTTCTACTCACCGACTGACAAACCAAAGATTTTGCCCAATACTCCAAAAAAAAAACTTAGGTTCAAATTGTGCAAGGAAGTTTGGTGGCAACATTACCATATAAACAAAGTGAGATAATTTTATTGGAAGAAATTTATTGTTTAATTTAATACTCAAAAAATTAATAATTAATTAAATTCAAAGCCACAAACCCTCTCCTCATAATTTGATTGTTAAATGAATTTTTACATAGATATTAATTTTGATTAAATGATAGAATTGTTCACTTAAATTACAATCTTATCCTCAATTATCAGTTTAAAGGAAATGATTAACACTCTCAATTATTAATAACGATTGCTATTTGTCAAATGGAAGCGGTCAATAAATTATTCCCCCTTATATCTCCATCAAAAAACTTAGCTATACACGCAAGTTATAATATATATAAGAATTGGTGACACAAGGTGTCGTGCAAGTTGTTGCGAAATTATATAGTTAATGTGATAATTATGTTTAATATTGCAATTATATGTGAAGTAAACCAAAGTATAAGACAATCGTCGTCCATGACGGAAGGCACAAGACAAAGGTTGCATGGGGCTCACATAGTCCTTGTTTTTCGTCTTTTAAGTTCCGTGTAGTAGTTGGCGAGCTGTCTGTGCATTTTTACCAAATCAATGCCCGACAGCAACGTCACAGTTGAGAAGGATAAGCTTTAATTTGTCGAGATTTTCTCGATTCTATTGTCACTCATAAATCAAGCGCTTACGTAAGGTCTTACGTTTGTTTTGGACCCAAAAGATAGCGTAGGAGGAGTAAACTCCAGTCAGCAACACAGAGAGTTGGCAGAGTACAACTCATTTGTGCTGTCAGTTTTGGTTTTTTTTTAAGGTAAGCTCCATCAAATGGTTTCTCTTGTTGTTTTTTCTTTATAAAACTTTTAATTTCATCAACTTTATTCTTCATGTTAACACAAAGGACCACTTTGGTCCTTATTCTTAATTGTTGTTCAAATAATAGACAAAAAAATATCACATGAGACAAATATTAAGTGACATCTATAATAATAAAATAGAACCCAATTTGAATTTTTTCTCACTGAAAAATTTAATTTAATTTAAATTCATTTGGAAAAGCACAAGGACGGTTCAGATTTCATCTCAATTCTTCTAACTTAATCTAGAGGCTCACATTTCATCTCGCATAAAAAAAAAATCCCGCCCAAATCAAACCTACCCCCTACACGCTACCCTCTCCTGCAGTCTACCCAAATCCCTTACAGCTACTCTCTCTCTCTTGTTTTTTATGTTTAATAACTATTTATCCATTCCTTTCTTTTTTTCTCTTCTCTCTACTGCATAAATCCTTCTATTCCTCACACACAAAGACACATCTCTCTCTCTATTGCGTCTTCACCCTTGAAACCCAACACATCTGTCCCTCAGAAATCCCAACACAAAACAATAAATACACACCCACAACACAAACCCTTAGTCATACACACAAACACATAAATGATGAAAATTTTTTAGAAAGTAAACTCTGGATGGTTGAAAATTTTGTAAATGATGAAAAGCTAAGAGCTTGATATAAAGCAAAGAGATCAAACATAAGGTTTTCTTTGGTTATATTTAGGAGAATTAATTGACCCTTGTTTTACGAGTTTAAGTTTGAGCCGGTGATCTCGTTTTTTCAAACAAATTTAAAAAATTATTCAAGTTCAGTTTATTTAAAACTCGAGTCAAACCTGAACCCAGATTGAACCCAAACATAGCCTTTTAAATTGTTTAAACTCAGTTCATTTCGATTAACACCCCCAGTTATACTTTTGTTGGATTCTCTCAATTTTAGGATTTGCAAATTATTTATTTACGGTCAAAATCTAGTTTACTCCCTTGTAGTTTGGGTGTTTTGCACATGGCCCCTTATGATTTGGAAATCAGCACATTACTCCTTGTGCTTTTGGACTAAAGTGCCACCTTTAATTTTTGAGCAATGCTATTGAAACCTAATTTATTAACCTAATTTACTATGACATTTGGATTCACTATAGACCCTATCAAACGTTGAAATTTAGTGTTAATCCAATAATTTTTATAAAATTACATCGTTATATTAATAAATTATGTCAAATTTTTAGGACCAAATAACATTATTCTTAATGTTTTCATCTAATTAGACCATCTGTGACATACTTGTGTCTAACAAAAGGTTTGACGTAACAAAATGTGTTTTCTCCAAAAATAGACACAATAAAAATACAATAATACCCTTCTTCAGTCTCCATCTTCCCTTCGTTCAAAAAAAAAAAGAAAATATCAATCTTCATCCTCTCAAGCAATTGAGTCTTATGCTTTTTCTCCAATTGTGCCCACCATCATCACCTCTAACAAATCATCTGCGCAATACCACAAGCTCCACCATTTTTCTGTGCAACACTACCAATCCACTTTCAACAGTCCAACTGTGCAACACTCTACCCCCACCGTTCCTACTGTGCAACAGCACAAATTGTCGCAACCTCTGCGCACATTCACCACCATTAAATCACCACCTTATCGCTGACCAACGCCTCCACTAAATTGCCACCCCATTGTGCACCACCGCCATTGCCACAACTTCAAAGCCAAATTCAGTTAACCAAACTCGACACCAGTAATAATAGAGATCAACAGAGACCAAGAATAACCATAGGAAAACAAGCAATTCAGTTTATCCCAAGGACACTGAATTACAAAGTGAATTGCCTCTCACGAATTTTGATGAGCTGCTTCCACCTCTGATCCTCCAGATCCTTGCTTCAATTAGGGTGATTGGAGGTTTGAGTTGGTGCTCAGTAAGTGGGTAGTATGGTTGTGGCTGTAATGGTTGCCTCAGTGGCAGTGATAATTAGGGGGAAGGTGGATCGTTGATTTACTGGTTGGAGAGAGAAGGGGAGGGCAACGAGGTATAATTTTGCTGGGAAGGAGGGAAGAGAGATAGATTGCAAATTAGTGTGAGTGGATGTGGCAAGTTCCAGTGGAACTTGATTGACCAGAGTGCTTAGTCAATGTTTTAGGTGATTGAGAAAGTGACAAGCATTTGATATTTCGAGTGTATGAAGTACTCGATTGAACCAGACTTTTAGTAGTACGTGGCATTAGAATTTTTAATCAATACATTAAACATGGCCTATTTTGAGATTTAACGTTTGAGATTTTGGGTACTAATTAAAGTTATTTTATCATTTTTGTTAATGGTGTTAATTATGCATATTTGTGCAAAAGCACAAAAGGGTAACGTACTTATTTCCAAATCATAAGAGTGTCATGTGTAAAACACCCAATCCTCAAGGAGATACACTGAATTTTGCCCTTTCTTTAATGTTGTTGCATTTCTCTTGTTCTTATAATGGCACTAGGGCACAACTGTGTTGCACCTATACCTTCTGGTTGCTAGAGACATAGGCATCTTTAGCCTTTCATTTTGTAGGCAAGGTTGTGTTGAGCACTTGCGTTTTGAACTTTCTCGTTACTTTTTCGAAAATGAATTTTATTTATTTACAAAAAAAGTCACACCTCACAAGCAACAAAAAACTGTAAAGAACTCAAAGTTGAGAGAGAAGATTTGCCACAGACGGTTGTGGTCTATACATAGCCTCTAAGCCCTTAGCCTTGGCCAAGGTTACCCCACGGTTAGCTTCTTCTAAGTCCACCAACTCAGACCCAACCCTTTCCCACTCAAAGCACTGAATAAACGTGCCTAATGCCAACCCAACTAGCCGCAAAGCCAAGCTAGCACCAGGGCATGCCCTCCTACCCATCCCAAATGGAATAAACTTAAACCCTTCTCCTCCCTTCTCAATCCCTTCAAACCTCTCTGGCCTGAACTTGGTAGGTTCCTCCCACACTTTTGGGTCCCTATGAATCGCCCAAGCATTCACCAACAGCATTGTTCCTCGTGGAACGTTGTATCCTTCTATCATAGACTCTCCAGAAGAAAAATGAGGCAATAGAAGTGGTGCAGCAGGGAATAATCGGAGTGTCTCGTTGACGATGCATTGGAGATAGGGTAATTTGGGAAGATCTGAATCCTCTAACAATTGCCCTTGCTTGACATGGTTGTTGATCTCGGATTGAGCTTTCTCCAACACCTCTGGGTGGTTTAGCAGAAGTGACATTGCCCATTCCATAGTGAATGCTGAAGTGTGTATCCCTGCTGTGTACATTATCTGTGCAAGTAGCGGCCGGGGAGAGAGCTTGTTAGAAATAGAATTACGAGTTCGTTGATATATAGCAAACCTAGGACAAGATATGAACTAGAAAATTAGACTTTACAATCACTAAATTCAAAATATATAACTTTCTAGTGAACCCTGGTGAATCTAGTTATTGATGATTGAATTCAATATGCTAAATTTGTAACTGATAGAATTGAAATTCCCTCCTAATCGATAGGTCATACTTGTTTTCCTCACTCAGAAATAGAGGGATTTGATTCCAAATTTCATCAATCATATACAAGTATAATCATGTATCCTTATATTTTGGAACCGAACAATTACGACTCAACAAGAATTCGTTAACATTAAAAGTTAATCTAAGGGTAGTCCAAGCAGTAACACAACAAGAATTAGTTAACATTACAAGTTAACCCAAGGGTAGTCCAAGTGGTAACACCATTGGGTTAAATGGAAACTAAAATAAATTATAAACTCAAATTTCTTAATTTTGAATCTTGATAATCTTTTGAGGTCAAGTCATGAAAGATTTATTTCTCATGAATACCCTAGCCTGACGTGAATAGTTTAACTTTGTTTTGACTGAGGAGGGGATTAATCGAGATGGTGCGCGTAAATTAACCTAAATATCCTGACCATTAAACCAATCAAAAAAAAGAAGATAATGTGACAACTCAACTGGGGTTAGATCCGACAAGGTAGTTGCAGCTCAGTGGTGACAAATTTATGATTCAATTTTCTGATGTAGCATTTATGCTAAGATCAGTTATAACATTTTAAAATCGATCTTAAAAATAATTACAGTGTCAATTCCGTTGGATTGAGTTGTGACTTCAACCAATTAAAATAACTTACCAAAACACAGCCTTTCGGTAAGGTAGTCTCAAGGATTAGTCATCAACCATGGATTTCTTCACATCGTTGGATAGAAATATCATCCTTAACTTACTATGTAACAAATTACAAAAAACAGTGCAATACGCTTACCAGTATGATGCCCTTGAGGATGTCATCCGTGTAATATTCAGGTTCAGCTTCTTGTAAAGACAACAAGGCTTTAACGATCGTCTTCTTCCTTTGCTCCGGCGAAGAAGAACCAGCTTTGTTTTGCCGGTGCTCCTCAATCAGACCTTGCATGAACTCGTTTCTCCGTCTATGCATATCCATCGACTTCTTCTTCGTCCCTCTGAAACCCACCCACCCCAAAAACGGTAAATAGTCACATAAGTTCATCTGCAAGCTCGGCCCGAACATGTCCACCGACTCCGTCCACCGTTTTCCGGCAACCATCTTTGTCACCACATTGAACATAAAATCACGGAAAACAGAACTCAGGTCAATTTTCCGGCTAGCCCCTTCATATCCCAGAAAAAGTTTCTGGACCACAAAACGGATCTCCTCCGTCCTGGTGGCGGAGGAGTGGTTGAGACTGGTGGCTGAGAAGATTTGGATGGTTGTAACACGGCGAATATTACGCCAGTGGTCGCCGTAAGGGGAGAACCCAAGGGTGGTGTTGTTGTAGGTTACGTGTTTGCTGGCAAGGAAGTTGGGTCGGTTCGCAAAAATTACATCAAGTTGGGTGAAGAGTTGCTCGGCAATGGATGGAGAGGAGACTAGGAGGACGGGTCGGGATCCGAACCGGAGGAAAACAATCGGGCCGTAGTGGGAGGACAGAGACTGGAGAGTTCGGTGGGGTGAGGTTTTGAGGAGCTGGAGGTTGCCTAGTATGGGAAGAGCTAGTGGACCAGGTGGTAAGTTTTTCTTTGGAGAGAAGAGAAGCTTGAGAATGATGCAAATGGAGAAGATAAGAGCTACGGTGCTGTAGAGGATCTCCATGCTCATGGAGAAGGAAGATGAGAAACCAGTTCGGTGCACTGAATTTATACTCGCATTTTCACCATTGCGAAAATTTGATTAGATCAAACACTAACGCTAATCTGTTTATTATATTAGAAAGACAAAAAAAGATAAAAAACAGAGAAGTTTAAAATTGAAAAGGCAGTCTGGGTCGAGTCCCTACGCGATAAAAAGTATAAGACGATGTTGTTGGGAAAATAGACTTTCCCACAAGTGTAAATCAATGGAAGCAATATAAATAAAATAACAGAAAATAAATAAGTACACAAGATTTACGTGGTTCCCTCAAATAACTTGAGGTACATCCACGACGATCGGTAGGTCAGTTTCTTCCACTATCACCAAATCAGATTACAAAGTGGCCAAAAGACATAAGCCTTACAAACACACCAAGGTGTAAATCACAAGAGGAAAATACCTCACAAAATAAGTGAACCAAATCTCCAAGAACAAACCGCAAGAAACCCAAATATCAAGTGAAGAAATATTACCCACTTGAAGAACAAATTTGCAGATTTTTCTGTCACCAAAAAGGTAGAAGAAGAAGGCTGAATTTTTGTTGAACCAAAGACTGCCGAAAAATATGTCTTCTTGCCAAACCAACCGAGAAAAGATGAACCAAAGAAATGGACAAAACTTATAGTCTTTGGTGGCTGCCAAATTCCTTTTAACTTGAAGACTTCAAACCAAGTCTTGGATAAGAGTCCTACACGGGTAGGCCACCAAAAAATTAGCAAATTGATGAGTCCCACAAAGGAGGGAAACCCAACAATTCTCCCCCTCCCGACTTATGTGGAGGATTCGACCATTCCCGCCAAAAGTCGACACTTCTCATGCTTGTCCTTAGTCAATGCCTTAGTTAACATATCCGAAGTGTTATCATCAGTGTGAATTTTTTCAAGTTGTAACAACTTATCATTCAAGACATCACGAATCCAATGATATCTAACATCAATATGTTTCGATCTCGAATGAAATGAAGAATTCTTGCTCAAGTGGATTGCACTCTGACTATCACAATGAAGGACATACCTTTCTTGTTTCAAACCCAACTCCTGTAAGAATTCCTTCAACCACAATAATTCTTTGCAAGCTTCAGTGATGGCGATGAACTCAGCTTCTGTGGTGGAGAGAGCAACGCATTTCTGTAATCTTGATTGACATGCCACTGCTCCCCCTGCAAAAGTAATCAAATAACCAGAAGTAGATTTTCGACTATCAACATCACCAGCCATATCAGAATCTGTGAACCCATCAAGAATAGGCTCGCCTTTACCAAAACACAAACTCATCTTTGAAGTGCCCTGAAGATACCTCATAATCCATTTCACTGCTGCCCAGTGTTCTTTCCCTGGATTAGACAAAAATCGACTGACAACCCCAACTGCGTGAGCAATATCCGGTCGAGTACAAACCATGGCGTACATCAAAGAACCAACTGCTGAAGCATAGAGAATTTTCTGCATCTCATTTCTCTTTTCATCACTTGTAGGACACTGACTTGAGCTTAGTTTGAAGTGGCCTGCAAGTGGACAATTAACAGGCTTTGCTTTGTCCATATTGAACCTCTCAAGAACCTTTTTAATATAATTCTCTTGAGATAACCAAATCAGCCCATGTGATCTGTCACGAACAATTCTCATCCCAAGAATTTGCTTTGCTGGACCCAAATCCTTCATGGCAAAGGACTTACTCAACTCTGACTTCAACTTGCTAATCTTACTCGTGTCTTGGCCCACAATAAGCATATCATCAACGTAAAGCAAGAGAATAATAAAATTACCATCTTTATATTTCTTCACAAACACACAATGGTCTGAAGTGGTTCTTGAATACCCATTCTCACTCATGAAAGCATCGAATTTTCTGTACCACTGCCTCGGTGCTTGCTTCAATCCATACAAGCTCTTCTTCAATTTGCAAACTAACTGATCATTACCCTTATCTTTGAAGCCCTCAGGTTGCTCCATATAAATTTCCTCTTCTAAGTCACCATGCAAAAATGCGGTCTTTACATCAAGCTGCTCAACTTCTAAATTCATACTCGCAGCTATACCAAGCACAGTTCGAATGGAGGACATCTTCACAACTGGTGAGAAGATCTCATCAAAATCAACTCCCTTTCTCTGATCAAAACCTTTCACGACAAGTCGTGCCTTGAATCTCGGTTGAGAACTGTTCCCATCATTCTTTCGTCTGAAGACCCATTTATTTTTCAAAATTTTCTTCCCTTTAGGCGGCTTCACCAAATCATAGGTGTGATTTTCATGCAAAGACTTCATTTCCTCTTTCATTGCCTTGAACCATTCAGTTTTGTTCTCATGCTTCAAGACTTCTTGATAAGTCCCTGGCTCCCCCTGATCTGATATCATCACATACTCATTTGAAGAATATTTTCTGGATGACTGTTTTTCTCTAGTAGATCTCCTTAACGGTGTCTGTGGTAGTGGCTCTTGGGGTGGTTGCTCCCCCTCAATCTCTGGCTCAACATCATCTTCTGCTGCATCATCATGAGGTGTTTGCACTTCCTCATCAATATCATGAACAGCAGAGGGATTGAGAGGATCTAAATCAACAAGATCATCAGTACTAGACTCAGCTGACTCAAGCTTGTCGATGTCTTCAATAGTCTGATCTTCCAAGAAAACAACATCTCGGCTTCTGACAACTTTCTTGTCAACTGTATCATACAACCTGTATCCAAATTCTTCATGCCCATAGCCAAGAAATATGCATTGCTTTGCTTTTGGATCAAGCTTGGACCTTTCATCTTTTGGAATATGAACAAAAGCTCTGCAGCCGAATACCCTCAAGTGATCATAGGAGACTTCCTTCCCTGTCCAAACTTTCTCTGGCACATCACCATTCAACGGAACTGAAGGAGACAAATTGATAAGATCAACTGCGGTCCTCATTGCCTCACCCCAAAAGGATCTTGGCAATTTAGAATGTGAGAGCAAACATCTGACTCTCTCAAGAATGGTGCGATTCATTCTCTCTGCAACCCCGTTCTGTTGAGGTGTCTTTTTAACTGTCTTTTCATGCCTGATACCATGATTTGTGCAATACTGATCAAATGGTCCAATATATTCACCACCATTATCCGAGCGAACACATTTCAACTGTCTACCTGTTTCTCTTTCAACCTTGGCCTGAAAAATCTTAAACACATCTAGAACTTGATCTTTAGTTTTCAGTGTATAAGCCCAAACTTTTCTAGAGTGATCATCAATAAAAGTGACAAAGTATAGAGCACCACCAAGTGTCCTAACTTTCAAAGGACCACATACATCAGAATGTACCAAATCTAAAACATGAGATTTTCTAGATGCAATGTTTCTACGGAATGATATTCTGTTTTGTTTACCATGGAAACAATGAACACAAGTTTTCAAAGGCGTACCTTTTATCCCCACTAGAAGCTCTTTCTTGGACAAAACTTGCAATCCTTTTTCACTCATATGTCCAAGCCTTCTATGCCATAAATCAGTGGATGAGTCATTCTCTAAGGTATTCACAACACCCTTGCAGATTTTTGTTTGCATAGTGTAAAGAGAACAAGTCTTCTTTCCTTTTGCTACCACTAGAGAACCTTTGGAGAGCTTCCATTTTCCATTACTGAAATTGTTGATGTAGCCTTCATCATCTAACTTTCCAGCAGAGATTAAATTGAGTCGAATATCTGGTACATGCCTCACATCTCTAAGCAGCAATTTGCATCCAATATTTGTTTCCAAGCAAATGTCACCCATGCCGACAATTTTTGACACATCTTCATTTCCCATACGGACATTCCCAAAATCACCTTGTGAGTAAGAAGTAAAGAAATCAGCCCGCGAAGTAACATGAAATGAAGCTCCAGAATCAATTACCCAATCCGTCTCTTGGCCAATCAAATTAACGCTAGCATCATCACGGATAATCATGAGTTCATCATCGGTAACTACAGCTGTATCAATTTGTTTTTTCTCTGAATTTTTCTCTTTGTTCTGCTCCTTGAACTTGAGTTTTCTACATTCCCGCTTCATGTGCCCTTTCTTGTGACAATAATAGCATTCAACATCCTTTTTTGACATCGAGCTTGAACGACCTCTAGATTTATCACGGTTGTGCGGAACCCTACTCTTACTCCTGCCTCTCCCCCGGTTTTCCATTACAAGTGCCTCGGAGTAAGAAGAACCTGATGATTTTCTTCTTGTTTCTTCATTCAACAAACTGCTGGTAACTTGACTCATTGTTACCACTCCATCAGGTGCGGAGTTACTAACTGTGACCACCAAAGTTTCCCAGCTTTCGGGAAGTGAACTAAGAAGTAACAAAGCTTGCAACTCATCATCAAAAGTAATTTTCATGGCGGCCAACTGATTCACAATGCTCTTAATCTCATTCAAATGCTCTGCAATAGAAGTATCCTCCTTATATTTAGAGTTCACAAGCTTTCGAAATAAAAAGGCTTTATTCACTGCCGTCTTTCTATCATACAAACTCTCCAATTTGGTCCAAAGACCATGTGCAGATTTTTCTGTAGAGACATGATGAAAGACACTATCATCAATCCATTGCCGAATAAAACCGACAGCTTTCCGGTCTAGCTTTTTCCACTCGTCATCTTTCATCCCTTCCGGTTTGCCACTATCACCCTCTATGGGTCCATTCAAATCTTTACAAAATAAAAGATCTTCCATTTTAGTTTTCCAAGTCACCCAATTTGTGCCATTGAAACTAACCATACGTCCAACGTTGCCGTCCATAATTCACACACAAAAATATAACGAATCGGAACCGAATTAACCAATTGCTCTGATACCAGATGTTGGGAAAATAGACTTTCCCACAAGTGTAAATCAATGGAAGCAATATAAATAAAATAACAGAAAATAAATAAGCACACAAGATTTACGTGGTTCCCTCAAATAACTTGA